AAACATGGAATGATAATAGTAATTTTAGTGTCTTTTTTTTTTTTTTTTTCTTTTTCCCTCCTTTCGTTCTTGCCTTGCTCGGTTTATGCCTTAGTAATATTACGATTATATCACAAGAAAGATTCAAATACTCTGTACATAATATCCCGGAACGCGAGACGTTCGATCAGGTTTCTTAATCTTACATTTACATACGCCTAAGATTTAATTACAAAGTTAGATATGTCTCAGGTTCACCTGGTATTGTACTTCAACGCAATTTCTCGTGCTTCCACTCTGCGTTTGTTCTCCCTATCTTTTCCCCTCCTTACACGAAACTTTTCGAGTAACCTCGATACCATTTGATCGAGATCTCTTTTTTCTCTCACGATATTTTCTTTCGCGATTCTCACGAAATAAAAGTTCGAAACGTATTTTCTAAAATTCGAACGATGCTCGTTCGATTTAGATATTTTCGGCTACTCGCTTCTAATCGTCGATAGATCTTACATTTCTAAACTCGATATCGTTAATTGGCACATCTCAAATGGCAACTTTCGTATTGGCACGATTAAAATGATCCTTAGAGTTTTTGTCTTCTTTTTTTTTTTTCTCTCTTTTTCTCAATTTGTTGATCGCACCGATGATCGCACACACGCTGTATGTGAACAAAATTTTTAGAGAAATAGTAACAAGGAGCAAAATATGTAATTAAAAATTACCCGTTTCGTCGTTAAATTCGCTTTCGACTGTTAAATTTTTGAGATTAACGATTAGATGAATGTATTGTAACGCGGCACGAACGAAGATAACTCAATCGACGTTGTTCAATAACGATTTCGAAATTACATATGTCACTCGTTTATTCGATCTATCCGTCATACCGTGATATTATATTGAATTTATGCTACAAATCTATGAAACATTACATTACACGAAATGGAACAATCGAGCGTAATAACAAAGCATCGAAATATTGTCCGAGAATTGCAACTTTAAGCATAAAGGTGATCATAAAAGATTCTCGATTGAAATCATTGTTCAACTGATCGAATCGCTAATAGAAAGTGCTTGGAGAGCGTAATTCGCATCATCAACTATTCCAGCTATTCGAGAAGAAAAACTTTTTATTACGTGGAATGAATCGTGAATCGAACTCGATCGAAATTCGAGCATATGGAAAACTATTACGTATCGTAAATTCCTAATTCGCTACCACGGAAAATTCGGTGTCGTCGTGATGAATCTGATTATAACAATCGATCAATTGCGATGAACAAACGATTATTGGAATTGATCGTTCATCGTCCCTCGTTATTTTGATTCAAATAAAACTTGCTCGGTTATTTAATAGATAAAGATTCTAAATTAATACTTTTCTTTTTTTTTTTTTTTAAAGCCTCGGACGGCTGTTGCACGTGTGAATTCTCACTTTCTTTTTCTTTCTCGTTTATTCGTTGTGACACCTTTTTTTTTTTAATCTCGCACGATCGAGATCGTATGCTCTTACATTCTCAATGGATAATTGATTCGCAGATATTCTAACGAGAGATTAAAAGATATAATAATATAATGATATAAAACGTAATTTCATGACCGAGTCCACGATTAGAAATTTTATGTTAAATCATGGATATCGATATTTTTTTTCGATGATAAAATCGTAAGATTATATTTAAAAAAAATAACGTAACGTTCACTTATGTTTACGAGAAAACATACAACTTCAAAGACGAAGCGAACATGAATATGGAACGTTGTATATCGCGTTCATATTTTAAATGTTAAATTATTCCACGCGTGATGGACTCGGTCAATCATAGACAGAAGTGTGGTCCATAAGACGCAAGCCGATTTACAATCGTTTGTAAAATCGTTAAATTATAAATTGTACGCGATATAGAGAGCAATATATCACTATGCTGACAATATTAATGCTTACGTAACAGCGTCGTAATCGATACTTACTGCGCGTATGTCGGACGCTCGGTAATGAGCAAAGAGTAGCAGATGCTTGAGCAATATATAAATAGTCGAAAAATTATACGAAGAGAAAATAAAATATTTTGCTGTCAGAACTGCTGTTTTCGTCGCTGTTACCTCTGTGCGCGCTCTCGATTATCGATCGATTCGAGTTACAAAGAGGGGACACAAAGATCAAGG